ATTACTTCACTCTTGGTTTCTTATCCTTTTTATTTTATTTTCTATTATACGATAACCAAATAAATAAAATGTAATTAATATAAATCCGGCCCGTGAAACAACATACGGATGGTGAACAGCGATCGGATAGTAGAAAAAAAGAAGATGTTTCACTGTGTCGGCCGAAAAAACAGAGTCCGGAGCTATGTTGATTGATGAATCGTGGTGGAATCTAATTATGTGGCACGCAGGATCGCTGGGTAGATGGATGTTGTAGCGCGTTGATCTCTCTCTTAACGAATGTATTGGACGCAATAATCCAGTCTCTTTTTACTATTTGCTGGTGTGAGGTGGTGTGCCCGCGCGGTGTTGTGGTGTATTGTGTTGTTCCGTGTGGTGATATATGAATAAGTGTGGTGTATTGTGGTGGGTTATATTGGGATGTGTCATTATTTTCCCGTGTGAAGCGGTATACATGGCGGAGAGAGTCATTTAAACATACATATTTCAATCAATCAAGACAAGCATGCAAACGCTTTATTCTATTTTCCGTACACTCGGCAGGAATGTCCTTCAACGAATTTAGATTTTTGCGGTTTCGGCGTTCTTTCGCGACCTCTGCTCAACTTCGAGTGTAGCATTCACACGTTTCATATCCAAAACTTTAACCAAAATGTATTGAGTCGATAAGAGACATTGAGATCCTCTACTATATCTCTGAAGTCAACACCACATGCACTGTTTCTTTGAATTTTTCGATGTGATCATCGGCTACAGAGGTGGATGGTCGACTCGCATGAGTCAAGTTTTCGGTGACTTCACGTTTCTAAGTGCCTCGACATAATAATACACCTTTCAATTTTTGTTTTTTTTTTTGTCACCTTTTTTGTACTTTTGGAGTTTTGATAAATTTTTTTTTTACTTTTATCGAACTTCACATAATGCCCGAAATGAATACCAAACTTGCATTATGGAATCGGTTTTATTAATTTTCCTGAACTGAATTTTTTGGCAAACTATAGCAAGTAGAATATACATATTCTACCTCAAATCCGTTCAGATTCATGCTAATCTTGCAGTATTTCATGTATCAATTTATTTCTATAAAAAAAAGTTTAACAGTTGGTAGTTGGTTTCTTAAAATCTTTAGTTTTTGTTTGCTATAAATTATTAAATTAAAATGAAAAACATCGAAAGTGTTTGTTCCTTAAGCAAGTATGTAAGTGTGAGTAATACAGTAGAATGTTTATGAAAATTAAATTTTAGATTCATAAACATTTTCAACATGCTTCAATTATTTATTTATTTAAGTGTGTGCAAACACTACAAGTATATTGTCGGTTCATGTCAATAGAATACATTTAGAGCAAAATTTGATTCATTAACCCCTTTCAGGCCGTTCTTTTGTAACTTCAATCTGTCATAATTGCGCTTGAATACTGGGAATTTCGAATAAGTACATATGTCAAAATGCTTTTATTCAATATTTCAATGAGCAATTGTTGGCATTTCTGCTGGAAATTCATCATTTCATATTCACATTTTCTTTGAAACTATGCTATTATAAGTACTGACCTTTAATATAGCTATATTTATATAGATATATGTAAGTGTGCTTTTGTTTTCCCGCCCGTTTGGCCGCTTGGCTGTAGTAGAGCAACGGGCTATTTGTATTATTTCAGCTTGTTTGCACATCGCTCTCATAATTAAGTAAATAATAATGCTCGAACAAATTAATCGAGTGTAAAATATGGACAAGGAAATTAATTTCGAAATTTACAATGTTTGGTATTTGCATATGAAAAGTGAATATAAATAATTAAAATTGACATTTTGCGGCAATGAAAGAGCAACTGCTGTACGTCTCTAAAAGTCAGCATAAAAGCCAAGTACCAGTTAATTGGCCAACCGGGCGAGAGAGTGGCGGGATAGCCCCTTGAAACAAAAGTTGAGCGGTCCAAAGTCCAGTTAATAGTTCTTCGCAGTTCATTTATTATGTATTTCCATAAACAAGCGCACACAACACGGACCCTCATCAAGGAAAAGTTTGTGTGTATATATATGTACATACCCTTGTGCAGATGGAGGTGAATAACGTAACTTTATTATGGAATGCTTTTTATAGCTTTTAAGGTTTTTTCAATTTTTCTTTTCCGACAAATAGTGGAATTACTCTAAGATGGCTTAATGTGTCTACGATTTTCGCTGTTGCCCTAGTTCGACCATGTTACAATTGCGGAGAGTTTTAGATACCCGAAAATCCAACTCGATAAGGTTGTAATAAACAATATTTTGAGTGAATTCTGAGGAAATATAACGAAAGAAATTAACAAAAAGAAGTCTATAAAAAGTCCTTTTGTCATCAGCAGCCATTCGTTACAGATCTTGATAAGCCGCGATCGTCGCTAGTGTACCGGTTTTCAGAAAAATAATTCCAGATTCATTTTGCTCATCTATATACATTAATTTAGCTTTCCAGATGTGCCCAAGGATAAATATATTTTTCAAAGTTACAAACCTGCGATCAGGCGATTGTTAGCTATGATACATACCATTGATCCCTCCATCCATCATAGATCGCCTATTTTTTCTAGGAAATTTTAAGTGTAGAAGAAACTCCGTCTCTGCCTTTGAACTCACTCTCTGAATTTTGATTTGCTAAATGGTATTGGTATAACTCTTTGTTAAATTCTTTTAGTCGATTTTTCCTCTTACTATGATTTAAGAATTGGATTTGGTGAATTGAATAACTTTAGCACTTGGGCAGTTATAAATTAGTTAATTGTGATATCAGAAAAATCCTAAAAATATGGATCAAATTGTTCATAGGTGTATGGAAAATATGCTTTGAGTCTATCACAGGTCTGTTGAGGCAACTAATTTCTAAAACCAGTTTGCTTATACGTTTGAGAATACAATATTCAGCAATTTGTCATCCGAAAAAGTGTTTAACATAACCGCAAGGATTGTGTGATTTCCGAATAGTACTCCTACATCTGGACCTTATTGAGAGAAGGACTTCAGTGGGCATATTACATCTACTTAGAGCAAGAATAACTTGCAATCGCGCAAGTTTTTGTGGTTTACCAGTATTAACCGCATTAGTATAGCGGAAGCTAATCACCTTCACATTTTTCAACGATATGCTACGATTAGGAATCCATACAAGTTTTATCACAAGGTTGCTCGACATAATTGATAATCTCTGAATTGTTTTGGGAGTTAGTCTCGTCCAGTAACGTAATAATCAGAATATTTTTAAATCATCAAAATAACCCCTCAAATATATAACTTTCAATTTCCGCGGGCTTCCTTAACCTGTATTCATATGTTATATGCTTCCAAACTCATTTCCACATCGTTATGTAAAGTAAAGGCATAATTCTAATAAGCCCGCATATACAAGAAGCGTACCATGTGCTGTTTCACTGTCCCCCTGGCAAATATTCAATCACATTACACAAACAAATTAATAAGTTAGTGTAGTATTCCTTATTACTATTTTCTTATACACTCGAAGACAACACGCGCACACGAACGACACGTCGTATGACCTCGAATATTTTTGTGATTTATATTTAGAAAGTAAAAAAACCTGCCCGGGAAATAAAATGAGGTTTACAAATGTATGTATGTATTTACAGAAGTTGTAATTTCGAAATCGATACCATAAAAATAGAAAAATGTTACGTGTACCAGTGCGTATGATTCATTTTTTAAAGTTTCGCGTGTTCGGGCACTTACTGCAAGGGAAAACACCGGTTAAATAACCGATCCAAATGAGCGACATGTGTATCATTTAGTTATTGTAGTTTGAGTCGAGCACAACAGTTTGAAATTTTTGAAATTTTAGTGGCAGATAAGGTACCATTCTTGGAGCTAGCCCAGCTAAGTAGGGAGTAATATAAGAATAATTAAATAAATGTAAAGTATTTGAGAAGTAATTGGAGAAATAAGAAGGGAGTAGAAGGGAAGGGAAGGAATTGAAAAGTAATGGAGCGTTCGTATAGTAATTGAGAAGTAATTGAAAAGTAGTGGAGCATTCGTATAGTAATTGAGAAGTAATTGAAAAGAAATGGATTAATTGAAGAGTAGTTGAGTAATTGGAAAGTATTTGAGAAGTAATTTAGTAATAGAAGAGTAATTGAGTAATTAAAAAGCATGTAATTAAGTAATTCAAAAATTTTTAAGAAGTAATCGAGTAATAGAACTGCTATATAAAAAACATATTCGGGTAATAATTATAATATCGGCTTTTCAAATAGAGAACACCAAATTACTTTTGTGAGTGGCTTTAAATCTGATGCAATTCATAACGGTCTTGAAGTGGTGGCGCTAGGGGCACCTGTCAACTACGTACAGGAATATATGGATTTGGATTTGGTTGGTGCGATGCGATTGGAACTGTATGCAAAACTGTGCGCTATCAGACCGTCGTAAAGGAATATCTAGTTCAAGCTTTAAGGGATAGGTCTGCAGACCTGTCAAAGTTTTCTGAGAGATACAGCAACAATCAACTCGTTGTTTTCGAAACGCTACGGTTTGGCCATACTCGTCGACATTTTTCCTGAATGCGCACTTGGCTTAGTGCATCACCTAAACTTGCCATTCGTGTACATCAACAATGTCGGTTTCTACACGGGCAGATTTAACGTTTAGAAATTTCTAGTCACCCTCCAACACAAAGAGACGCTCTACTTCCACTGTGATCAGGTAGATTAAGTAGGGGAAACATTACGGAGCTATATTGTCTGTGTTTCGCAACTTCCTCTGCGATCCCTTTTCTCCAGGTTTCAGGACAAGAAAACCGAACAAGAGTGAAAGTGGAGATCTAGTGGCGATCTCTGTCCCAAACTTTCAGCGAAAACAAATATCACTTGTGTATTTGAATTAAATCCTCAACAGCCTTCGCATATCTTCCATCTTTCTTTTTCAAATCTATTTGAAACTTAATTAGGGAATTCATAAATATCATTTTATGGTTAATACATAAACTAACTTACAAAATTTTTTAATTCCAGTATTGCACCGCACAAGTACTACAAACCCACTTAGGCCGTATTGTGCCACACACCTGCACACTGGGCGCAACGTGTCATTCGTACTACAGAACGGGCATTCCCGTGTTAGTTACCTTCGCTCCTACTACCCAAGTGTAGCCGAAATCGCCTGCATTCATTGTCGCCGAGCGAACTCACTACCGCAGGAGCTCGAGTACTTTATGTCGTTTGCGCTGGCGGATGTCATCTACTGCTTGATGGCCTCATCGGTGCGCGCTGCTAATATGCCCGAAGAGTTTCGCCAAATCTTGATTCGTACATTCGCTAAACTCAGACAGTATCATGTTCTATGGACATGGAAGGGCAATGTCACAGAAGGCAGTGACCTGCCATCTAAAGTGCGCCTGAGCGCTTGGTTACCGCAACAAAACATACTCGGCCATCAGCGTCACAGGATCTTCATAACACGCGGCGGCCTACTGAGCATGTACGAAGCAATTTATGCGGTGCCTGTGATGATGTATTCTGCGATCGCGATGTGAATGCGGCAAACTCAGTCGCCGGCGGATATTTTATAAAGCTAGCGCTCGGCGTCCAATTGACTGCCGCGAGGTTACAACGTGCAATATACGATATTATGCACAACGGTAAATATAGGCGCGATATTAGGTGAGGGCCAATATAAGTACTAAATGAGTTTTTGCTGTATTATTTCGTCCTGAAAGCCTTACCTCCCACAAATCCCGACGCGCGTTGTTATTCGCTCAGCCGATGTCACCGCTAGAGATGGCAATCTTTTGAACTGAGTATAATCTACGCCACCACGACGCACATCATTTGCAAACATCTGCACGCGACTTGAACTAATATTTCTAACTCATTTTAAATATTTGCAATAACTCCACTTTTCCGCTCAGCACCTTTGCTCTGGGTCTCCTGCTGCTGATTGTTCTCTCCGCCGCTACGCTGCGCTGCCTGCGTCATCTGCTGTTCGGGGACATAGCTAAAAGAGATTGAATGCTTTGCACACGGAATTCATGTTCTCGCACAAAGTGCAAAATTAAAAGTGAACAAAAGCCAGGCATTCACAGGTTCCCCAAAATGTATACCATTGTAATGATTTGAAAATAGAAATAATCCATAATGCAGAATTCCCACACATCTTTTGTAAATGTTGGTGGTATTTTTTAATTTGGCGCATTTCACAAATAAAGCACCGCTCCCCTGACTCCGCAGCTCTTATTCGGTATTTGATATAAGCAGCTTGCCCCGTTGGAATACTAGCTTAGCTCACTTGCTGTCAAGTCAATGTACGCTTCAGGAGTGTATTGGCTGTTCAGCCATTTCCGCACCAAAGGAGCATGTGGGGGGCAAGCGCGTGGGACTTATTGCAATTGTGCGTTCGCTTCCACAATAAATATTACGGGCATGTTGCACATGTCAAAAAGGGAAAAATGTGCTGAGGTGCGGATGCGGTGTGTAGTGTCGGTGTTAAAATTACATAACTGGAAATTGCTCGAGTGCATTATGTTGTATCACATCAACGAGTGTCGTCATCTCCTGCTGTTATATACAACTTTCCTTGCTTTCCTCATACACACACACCAACACGCAGACTCTGCAAACGCGGTGATAGGAGTAAGTTAAATTGCTGGATGATTTCGTAGTAGGGGTGTCCTAATGTGCATAGAAACTATCAAAAATCAAAAAAAGGACCATATACTTCGACTGCAATGAACCTATCGGTCAGTGAATGAAAATGTATAATCTAATGTTTTACACATACAGTGTGCTCACCAAGCACATTCGAAAAAAATTGGATAGATCAGTCAAAAATAACTACATAAGCTCCAAGCTGCAAAAAATAGAAGCTGATCTTTTGAAAAAATGTAATATGAATACAATACTTACTCTTTGTCGGGCTGGCTACTTCAAGATGGTGAAAAGAAACTTTTAATCTTTCCTAAGTTTCCTAGTTTCCACGACTTTTGAAGCTACTTATACGCGGGTGACAGAAATTTTGACGATGCCAAACTAACGTGATAACTAGAATTGGTGACCAAGTATACTGGTCTTCATAAAGTAATCGCAAGGCTATGAGATTTATACAGAGCCACTTAAATATAGAAAACGCGTTAACTACGGTTGCAACGAAGCTATAATACCCTTCACAAATACAATAGGTTGCTTACAAGAACTTTGGTCGGTCAGTTTGTATGACAGCTATATGCTATACTGTCTTGATCTGAACAAGTTTTTCGGAGATTGCACCGTTGTCTTGGACCATAACCCATGCCAAATTTCGTGAAAATATCTCATCTAATGAAAAGGCTCTCCATACAAGGACTTGATTCCGTTCCGACAAAAGAAAAATTCAAAGATAGATGTCTCAAAATTTCGGATAGATATCTCAAAAACTGATAGACTAGTTCATAAATATACAGACAGACGAACAGACACACGAAATCGACTTAGTTCGTCACGCTGATTTGTATATATATACTTTAAAGGGTCTCTGACGTTTTTGAGTATTACAAACATCGTGGCGAACTTATATACTCTGTTCAGTGTGTAACAAATAGCGATAGCATCTGTTCAGATTTGACTGGACTTTTCAATGATTTCGTAGCAATTGTTCTATTAGAAACACAAACTTTCAAGCGAACTCATTGATAAAAACCACCAAAAAACACTTTTCGCATCGTTAAAAACAGCCGCCAAAAGCACTAATTGATTCAAATCGGTTTGTGCGCAAAATTTAGATTGACTAGGCCAAGTCAAATTTGATCAGATGGTTTATTGTACAATAGGTATTTGATATTTTTGCGACTCTTTGCAAATTCACTGCCAACTGTCCCTATTCGTATTTAACTTAGATGTAAATATTTCACAGAACATCATGGAAGTCCACCACTTACAAAATACTACAAAATAACAAAAAAAATTTATAGGAAGCATTTTTAAGCGAGCAGGAACTACATATACTACTACTACTTTATATGAAAAATTGAGAGAAGAGGAGGAATTTTAGTATTGGTCCGTTCTGTAATATATCGCAAATTCAAAAAAATATATGTAAGAATAAATATATCTAGAGACAAATACAAGTATATACATTTAGGACATACCTAGCATGTTATCACCCTCTTTATGACTTGTCAAAAAATTGCATCGATGTCATTGTGCAATGAAACATAAATGTCACAATGACATTTGCAATTTGGTGTGGTTGTTGCAGCCACTTGATTGCGGCTTGCAACGCAATGTGCGGACGCCAACAAAGCGTAGAGATGGAGTAAGTTGCGAGCAAACCGTTTCGTTGCACACCATGGTGTTAGCATTCGATTGAGTGACAGCCGCAGGATATAACACGATGGCTGTGGTGTCCGAGCCGTGATGCGACGGTTGCGGGGAGATCGCCAACACGATTTTTATTACACATAAATAAGTGAGCATCATTCAACAATTCAATCAGTATGACAGCGAAACACGGCAACAACTACTTACACGCACACATACACAACACATACATACAATCATGCTGCACAAAAGCTATAGCAACAACTATGTGCTGGGAATTGCAATGGCAGACACACCGTTGCATTACGTCGAGCATATCAAGATGTCATCCACTTGCGCTGGTGTGTGTGTGTGTGTGTGTGAGTGTATATGTCTGGTTGTGTGTATGTAGTTGCGTGTGATTTGTGCGCATACTTTATGCGTTTCAATAAATTCTGCCATAAATCGAGTGTGGCATGTCTTGTGTTATTAGAAGAATCGGCTAACGGTCGGGTGCACTGAAATGGAAGGTTTAGTTTTCAAACAACCATATCGATAACACCACCAGCAGCAAAATAACATTGTCATCGCAGCGCATAGAAATTATATGAACATTGAAATGCATGTATTACCTTCGGAGCAGCGGTGGAGCAATGTGTGCAGTTGCTAAGCTTAGTGCCAACGAACTTTAGTCGCTGGATGACATGAGCACTGCTTAAAAGGTAGAAAAAAATGAGAGAAACAAAGAATTTAGACTGAATAATGTGTAGTCATCGAGGGCGACCATCGAATATTAGTAAATAAAAGTAACAATTAATGGAACTGGCTGAGATGGTGAGTTCGAGAAAGGTATTTCGAAGGAACATTCTTTAATCTAATAAATATTCGTTCGTATCACAAAGGACCCGAGGCTTAGCTGTACACTGAACTTAAGTTTGCCACGCAGTTTGTAACATCCATAAGAAAACATCGAAGATCCTATAAAGTGTATATATATATTTGATCAACGCGGTGTGCAAAATTTCAGATCAATATCTCAAAAACTGAGTGACTAGTTCGATTATACACAGACAGACGGGCAAACAGACGGACGGACACACGGACATAGCTAAATCGCCGTTTCCTTCTCGTTGTTACAAATTTCGTGGAAAACTTAATATACCCTACTCAGGGTATAAATTATGCCATACAAACTGACCGATCAATGTACAGATAAAGATATTTTTATATATTAAATTTTTACGGTATGTGTAAATCATAGCTGGAGACTGAAATTTTGTTATGATCGATAAAATCATGATTATAAAGCTTCATGGATTCCTTGAACAAAGCAGGAAAACATATTTTGAGTAAAGGTCAGTTTCTCGGCAAGAAGTACAGTTACAGAAAGATATTTTGGGTTAACTGGTATCGACAATGGAGGCTTTCACCATCATATACCAGTGCTGGTAGACAAGTCACTCACAATGTTTAGAGCTTTTCGAGATCTATTGATAAGTTTGCTGTCTGGATGAGTGATCAGCTGATTTCAAATTAAAAATTAGCAGATAATTTGTAATGTATGATAACTGGTTAAGGGGCTACTAAGCATTTGCGCTACAAAGAAGTGAAGTCATATTTTAAAATTCTAACAAGCGTCTTTAGTAATTAAACCTCACCAAGTAAATCACTCGTGATAATTTTTTTCAGTGTATAACCTTCGTTCAACCTAACCTTATATTCAAAACAGTTATTACATAATACAACAGAGCTTTTGTAAGCCCATTTATTGCCAATGCTTTGTAAGAGCTAAACACAAAGCTTTTGCGATGAACTTTCGTAAGCGCGACTTCAAACGTCCCAAGCTCAAACACACTCAGTACCCAAGCATACAGACATCTTTACGCCGCATCTTCACAGGCAATAGCTTTTTCAAACAATCTGTCAAGTCTGTTGCCATTGAGGTTGGCAATATTTTTGTGTTGGCAATTATTATCATGACATATTTGTTGTCATGATATATTTGTTACATGTTATATGATATTTACAAGCTATTGAAGCGGTAAAAATTTCAAATAAACTTCCCGCAATTTATGAAGAAAACCAAAAATTAAGAATTGCATGATATGAAAAATAGTTTACAGGAAGAAAAAAAAAGGTTTGCAAAATATTCTAGCCATTAAACTCGTAAAAGTCCAGAGTTTCCGAGCTTCTATTTATTTTTGATTTGAATCGAAATATGATGAAGGTTTTCAATTATAGACTCCGTAGAGCTCGAATGGCGGTTGAGATGACCTATGGAAAACAAGGTTTTTACGATGTAAAAGTGGTGATTTTGGCTTGGACGAAAAAGAACGTTCAGGGCGCCTGAGTTTAAAGATGAGAAACTGGAATAGTTACTAGATGAAGATTGTTACCAAACGCAAGACCAAGAATCACTCAAGCAGTCACTTAAAAGCAGCCATATGATTGAAAACCAAGAAACGTTGAAAGACAATTTTTCGCGTCAAAAATGTTGCTTGAACGCAACCAAAAAGTTGTTTTTGCGACGCAACCTCTTCTTTACTCTAAATGTAGAAAATCGTATGTGTAACCTGATGAACTAACCGAATTCACAGTAAAGCCGAATATCCATGACGCCACGGTAATGCTCTATATTTGGTGGGTTCCGAAGGGTGTGTTGTATTACGAGCTTCTAAAACAGCTCAAAACCATTAATGGAGAACGCCACCGACAACAACTCATCAAATTGGAGAGAGCGATTGCCGAAAACAGCTCGGAATTTGCGACTAGCTGCGAGGCAATAAATTTGCAAGACCGGTTAAAACTATTTGGGAAACAGATGTCGGGAAGTTGTATCACCCGAATTATAGGCCAGAACGCTCTCACTGGAATACGGTTCACACCAGAATATGGTATCCAAAATTGCCTTGATTCAGCAGGCATATAATTTATTGTATAAGATTATAGCTTAAAATGGCCAATACTTTAAGTAGTAATATTGTACATATTTTTCTTAAATAAACGTTCAAATTGTGAAAAAGCCACATGAAATCAGTAGATTTGCGGAGTGCTAAATATTCTTGAAATAGTATTTATTTCCGTATGTATATATTTATATTATCTGGATTATTTTGCCGATGCGATCGAAATAACAAATATGCAGTCTCAATTGGCAACATTACTAGCAATACAGGCTTCTAGACATCATCTATTGCCTGTCGAGATGCACCGTTATGAAAAGCCAAGTGCGAATGGCAAGAAATAATGATCAAAAGCTCCGCACCACACGCTGGTTGCTTTGATACTGAAACCAACTAAGAGTTGTCGAAAGCGCTGGCGTGCTAGCGGCGTGTTTTGCTAACTATACACTTGATTAGCCACCAGCCACTACTATGAATACATAGATTTACTTTTGTATATATGCATGTGTGTGCAGGTTTAGTTTTGGTAACATGCGCAACGCCAACTTTATTTACAAAACGCACTCAACAACACTCTTTGCACAAAACCAGTTTGGCAATAAAAGCTTCCACTTTCAATTGGAATGAGGTAAGACATGCGATCTTACAAATCTCAGCGAACACATTTGAGCGAAAAGGCAAGGCGAACGGTTGGGCTACGCGAAACCGAGCGGTTTACAAATTAAAGAAACTGAAAAAGTAACAAAATATTTATACAAAAAAGCGTGAAAAAAATTTCAAAAATATTAATTTGCATATTTCGACGCTAAGTGGAGACACGATCAACGAAAAATAGAAAGGCAACAATGTAAAAAATAAAAATAAAAAATAATTGTTATTATGTTTGAAATAAAACTGGTAATTTAAATTATAAAACATTTTAAAAAGTTTATAGACAGCGAGCGACAAGTGATCGACGCAGAGCGTGTGCGCTAAAAATAAACAAACATTTCTATTTTGTTTGAGTCCTCGGTTTGGCAAGAAATTCAACGGTGAATTATGCGTGCGCAAACAAAAGCAATAAATAATTTGAAAATATAATTAATAAAAAATACTAATCAAAAGTATATTTAAATGTTAAAATTGAGAAAAAAGTCAACTGAAGAAGCGACAAAACGGAGATAAGAGAATACACTTCCAAGTCGGCGTTGTTTTGTTCGAGCCAGTGTGCGTGTGCGGTGTGTGTGTGTGCCATCATTGCGAGCGTGAATCGTAACGCGCCCAAATAAGCTATCACTACAACAATAGCAACAATAACGTTGACTTTTGCAACAATAATGCGATTAACTAGAGCGAGTTGCGCAAGTGATAATTGAAACACCAAATAAAAACTATTAAAAAAATATAAACAAACATAAAAATAAGTAATTATAATAATAGCAAAAAAACAGCAACATATGAACGCCATACAATAAACAGCTAGGAATAAGCAAAAATACAAAGCAGTAAATAATCATATTTTGCTATCAAGTAGCAACAACGCGCTGTACTTTTTCAAACACGAAAGTAAAAAAATTAAAATTCGAAAATTACTTCGCTAATGCTGTGCCGAAATCGCAAATAATCTTTATCAGCAAAGAATATGCGCGGCAGCTATAACGGCCGCACGTCGTAAGCCAGCTCACAAAATATTGAAAAATTATCAAAAAATTTTTGTTGCTTATATTTGTTATTTTTGTATAGCAAAACATTAATGAAAACGAACCGAGCTAGCAAACACTTCGCACGCACACTGCCGCCACTGATAGCGAATGAGCGACCGCAGCGCACGACGCATGCGCCTAGTCACATAGCAGCCAAACGCAGATAACGCCTGCCAACAACAACGGCAAACACAAATGCATTGCCATTCTCGCATTGTACATACAATAAACACAAATAATTAAATAAAGATATATATATATATATATATGTATATATACATATATGCCATATATTTGAATCGGTCAATTGAAATACACCCAACCGTCGCAGCCGATTTGGACCACAACGGTATCCCTGCTGCTAGCAGCTCCACTCCGCAGTTCAGCGTTCGTTTGATAGTGGGCACATAAAGTAGTCGAATGCAAGGTCACTCATAGCGCTACGACACTCAAACTGCCGCGCCGCGACAGGCAACGAAATTGATACCAAAATAACAGCAAACAAATTAATCGAAATCTTCACGAGAACGCTGAAAGTATGGAGGGCGAGAAAATGTCCACGTTCTATTCGAGTTCGACTAAGGTAAGTCAAGTCTATAAATATAATATATAGTAAGCAAACCTCGAACAGTATTCTCGAGTGCGCTGTATTTTTTATTTTAATTTTTTTTTTTAATTTGTTAGCAATTAGATTTTGAAAATATTATACCGACTATCAAATTGAGTTGGAAAACAAATTATTATATATTTTAAGAAGATTTGTTTGTCTACGTGATCTTGTGCTTTTGCTGATAAGCCCTGCTGTTAGGTATGCCAACGCCTTATCACTTGTCTGGATGTCAAATCTTGACACTTCTCATATAAAAATATTATATATATTATAAATATTCAATGAAAAGTAAACGATCTATATTTCTATATATTTATACATACTTATATATATATTATATATATAGATATATATACATATATATGTCTATATATATATACATATATATACCTGTGGGTAAGGTTATGAAATCAATTTGAGCCGAGGCGTCACAACTTTTTGGTGGCTCGTAAGTTCAAATCCCACGCGAATTCAATTAAAAATTATTAGTTTCAAATATTGTGCTGTAAGAGTTATAGTATCAAAGTATTCAAACTCTAAAATTCTCAAAATAATGTAGACAACTGCTCTTGAGCAGTTTCCTAATTATGACAGTTCTATCTACCAGAATATGGGTTGAAGTATTCGACAATATGCACACGACGACTCAATTAGATAGATAGACGATATTCTTTCGTAAAGTGTACTCGCGTAATTGCAAATGCGTTTGTTATGGAGGAGGTTATGTTCAAGAGAAATATTTGACTGATTTTCTTGACGCTTTTTGGATTTGTTATTTATGACTAGTGATTTTTTAACTCACAACATTTTTTTCTGCATTAACAACGCCATTGCATAAAACCATATACTAAAGATATGGACGTGGAAATATATTATGTTCAGTTTAAAGTTCGTCGATTCCGATAGAATTCACCACAAAAACTTACATAAATTTACATTTAAAATATATATTAAAAATTTTCAACATTAATAGTAGATATCTAAGTTAAAGAGTTAATTTTTTTACTACATATGTTTATATATGTACATATATTTTCAATACATAAGAAATTTTTTTTTTTATTTGCTTTTATAATTTGTCATTTAAACATTTGAAGTTTTTTTTTTAAATAATTTTAGTTTCTTCCCATAATAAACGCATTTTCTAAAATTATCTCTAGCCGAAAAGCTCCACTGATTCGCACTAAAATGTATTCGAAATTTTTTTCTTATTTTCCTAAGATTAAAACCAAAATGCCATGTTTCACCCTAAAACAAATTCTCAATATTTTACAAATTTATAATGCATAAAGATCGGAACGGATTTTGCCCTTGCTATTTCACTTTTTGCAATAATGTTGGCCGTTTGCAAAACCCTTTGAAGGAACCTATTCCTTTTTTGACTAAAATATGCAAAAAATTGTTTATAACAATTTAAATATTCCATATTAGAAAGTGTCTGTGTCTTTGTCTTTAGTGTGCCTCTAAATAATATAAATCTAAATAGGCTGTCTAATATTTGTCAACCAGTAAAAATGAATTGGGTGAGTTTTGAGTCCGTCCTTTTCCAATTCATAAACTAGGACAAAGTTTTTTTTTTTAAGATTTTTAGAATGACCCAAGACGAGGTGAAATCCGGGTGACTGTCTGTCCGTCCATCCGTCCGTCTGGCTGTGCTGTAGCTTGTGTAAAAATTTAGATATGTTGATAAAACTTGGTACACATATTTCTGGGCGCCGTAAAATGGTTGCTACTGCAGATGAGCATAAATCACAAATAGCCATTAATCGAAAACCAATAAATTGCGATAACTAAGCTCTACAATAAGAGATAAGACTGCTTCTGCTGTTTAAAAACTTGTTTAAAAGTGGGCGTGGTCTCTCTAATAGGTTTAATGTGCATATCTCCTAAATCGCTTAAGCTATAATAACCAAGTTCACTCAGGACAAATATTTATAGCACCCCTATCGACAGTATGAAAATTGGTGATAACCCCGCCCACTCCCCATATAACGGTTTTGATTAAAACTACCACAAATGCGATAACTCATAAAATTAACCAGTCAGTGACGTTGAATTTACAGAAAAAATGATTCTATTAAGCTTTATAGGAGCAAAAACAAAAATTGAACAAGGAGCGTGACCCCGGCCACCTTTAAGGGTAACCCACGTCTACTTCCCATATAACACAATTTTAAATTCCATCCTCCATTCTCTCACTTCCTAGTATGTAAATTAAGTAAAAATTGATGTATCGGAATAAAACTGGACACGAGTAATGCCCTTAAAGTATACTATCTTATGACCAACATTTTTCCAAATCGAACGAAGACTTTTCAAGTACCCCTTGGTACCGAATATGTGAACCCCACTACATAAAGTGGACTTTTTACCGAAAATATACCTAAAATAAAGATTTTTGAACTTCCGGTTGACGTTATACCATATATTCTATAGCGATCAATGTGCTAGTTATTTTAATGAAATTGAGAAAGCTTGTTTTTATAATACTTGTAACAGTGTAGCTTTGTGTCTAACACGGATAAAATTGGGCGAAAACTTGACCTAGTATCCCATATATCTAATATCCGAATTTTCGAACATCCGGCTGTCTTTACTCTATATGATTGGTGATGGTATGTGAGGTACCTTAATGAAACCTTGCGAGCATTTTATTAGTCTGTGACATGTTAGTAGTATGTGGAATTGATAAAATAGGTTCAATACCATCCCCAACTTTCATACACTACTTATAATGATTTTTGGTATTCGAAGTTTTATGGCGAATATGTCGTTCAGTGAGTATTATTTATACATATGTAAAATTGCTTTAAAATATGTTCTCGAGTATACCTGAGCAATGGCACAATTAATAAAATCAGCCGGCAACTTTCTTTATCGTAAATATACTCCATAAAATGATTTCCGTCTTTCTACCTGCCTTTTAACCGTTAAGGTTGGTCACAATGTATGATGTTTGTAGTGAAATTAAGTAGACAAGTTTTTTGTGGTTTAGCGCTGAATTGCAATGGAATTGGTCTATACCTTGGTCTAAACCTCATGTCCCTAATATAATGAATTCCGATCCTCTGGTTGACGTTTTCCACATCAACTTAATATATTAAATTTAACCGCTTCGGTCAAGTTAACATCACATACATATATCTCATTTGAAGGAGTTTCCCGGGCTTTGATCTTGCAAGCTGCAAGCGTATAAAAATTTCGGTTATACTCGAACTTTGCCCATCCTTATTTGTTCTGCTTAAAATTACCTCAAATCAAAAAACCAAAACCAAATTTTAAGTACAGTAACTGAATACAGGCAATGAACGAAAGCCAAGTCAAAATTTTGGTTTTCAAAAATCGAAATTATTATCAAACATCTTATTTCTACGATCATTACCTAACAAATATATCCAAGAAGATCGTGTGGAATTGCAAGTCAATCGGTGCAGCCGTTTTGGAGACCGACTCTGAAAACAGAGTTTCGAACTAAAGCTTTTAAAGTATTTAGAGCCGATTAACTTATCTTTAATTATTTTGTGTTGAATGTTTTATATCGGAATTTGGAATTAGAGCTCTAAGTCAAGGGTGCAAGCTGGTAACCAATTTTTTAAAGTATTTTTTTATTAACATATTTTTGGTTTAATGAACTCGTATTCATAATTGTATATTCTGTTGCATGCACAACAACAAGCAATACTTTTTCTATGTATTATATATACATATAGTATGTATATATACATACATCCATATAGTATACAAATATGTGTCGTATTTACTCCTATTAAGCGCGCAGCCAATACATTCGCATTTTAGTGTTCTAAATCCACAATTACTGCTTCGTGTGCAGGTGTTTGTGTGCTTGTTGCAATGCTAAGATTTTTACGCCATAATTTTATGCTGCATTTTATTGAACAAGGGAGAGTCCACATAGGTAGAAATATGGATCACTAGCATTAGAAAGCAAAATTCATGGCATTCATTACGCAGAAAACATCGACAACAACAATCGACAGCAATCAGCAACTAAGTAATGTAGTAAGCAGTAAGTGAATCAAAAGTTAGTGAATGCCTCGAATGTAGTGCAGAGCGAAAATTCTGTTAATGACAAAAAAGGTGATTGGTGGAAAATAGAAATTTATTTATTTTTAACCCGGTGATAGAAGTGCACACACACACACACACGCATACGCATGCGTAAAAGCAACGACAATATTTATGCATTTAGTTACTCAAGCTTACAGATGAGCGTTTTTTGCCAGCGCCTCTGCAACCGTTTAGATCAACAGCTATTGGAATGGTGGAGTGCGAAAGGCAACTGAGGCGACTATGCTTGGCAGATGGAAAACTATTTTTAATTATAGCCAACTTTCAATCTACTAAATACCAAAGCAACAGCCGCCAAACAAGCAAGCAGCCAGCTAGCAGCTGTGTGTGTGCGGTTGTGCTGCCGCAATGCCGCATAATAATAGCTAGTGCATTAGTAAACGGGCAACAACAGAAAGATTCTAACAATTAGCAAATTCTGGGAAATGACATTTTCACTTTGCCGCTGCTGACGCTGTTGTAGCACACATCTAGGCAACTTGTGTTGCTGTGATTGTGGCGGCGTTGCACCACTGGAGCGCACGCTGCGACAGCTGGCGTCGCGGCCGACAGAAAGCGGCTACATTCCTCATCTTCTTATAAAATGCATGTTTTTGTGCCCGCAAGAGCTGCGGCTCAGCGCTGCCACACCGCCAATATAAGCGACACTTTGCAGACCTACTTAAGATATTCTCGTTTCTCAAAGTACAAAGGCGACAAAAACTTGAATTGGCCATTTGTGATTGATTTGCTGATGATCATCATGATTTGCTGATTTAGCGCGCCGCGCTGCGCCACCCCGCTCACTAGAGCTGAGGCTGGCGCTATTTCTGTAACTAGCTACTATTGCCGCGCTCCCCCACTCACCGCACCAGTGCGCTGTTTAGCGGTGTTGGCGCGCAAAT